TCCTACTGCGTATTATCACAATGTCTATTGTCTTCGACCGAACATGCATCAGAGTTAAAGTTAACCTAATCTAAAATATAATTTTTATATTTCAAAGAGACAACCGATGTTTCTCTTTTCTAGTTTTCCCTGGTATATTGAACTCAAACTCCTCTAAATAAACCGTTGGAAATCAAAAGAGATCAAACGGATATTGAGAAATCATGTTTTTCAATAAATCAACATATTTCGTATATTTTTATTCGAAATTTTACTATTGCCATAGCTTTCACAAGAAAGATCTAGTAGAAAACATATTTTTCAGGTTTTATATCAACGTAAATACCCAATAAAATGGCTGAATAAAAAATTTAAGATGGATCTACTTGTTACTAACTCTTAAGGAGCAGATACATATTATTTATGGTTACCTTAGAAAACCATAATACTCATTGTCCTGTTTCTATAAAAGTATAATGTAAATGAAATTTTGCAGCTTTCATACTCAAATTCAATTAATATTCAATTCAACAATAGAATTTCAGATTTTATTGAAAAATACAATGGTCAAACAAAATATTGTTACAAATTTTTTTGGGAGTTTTTAATCTAAAACATGATGCTAAAGAATAAATATAAATAATATCATATTTTTCTCCGAATGCAAAGTATTATTTGTGAAAAATAAGCAATTTTTGAATAACCAAGTCTAAATGCTTAAATGTGATATTAAATGTTTCAATCGTGATACAATGAATTATCTTATCGAAATGATGCATGAAACTTAGCATATCCAATTATTGTTCTAGATTTTGAATCAATTTTTAAAGATTATCTACGTCATCTGTACTGTATGATCTTTTCGAGCATGACAAAAACAATAACTTATGAGATAATCTTATGTCCTATCAAAACGTAGTACTAATTTTGTATACTCAGATATTAGTCTTATTCAAAGTAAACAGATTGAGATGAATAATAATATAGTATCACAAAAATTATCATCAGAAATATTATAAAAGTTTTTGCTATTTCTAATGTTGGTTATATTAATAATAAATTCGTCAGCTACATAATTTTAGGAGGATTTTTATAGAGCAAAAACTATATGAGAGAATGGTTAAATCCGATACGATAATTTGGTCTTGACGTGATCACAATGTAGACCTGCGCCATATAATTAAATCTATGGATATCACTCAAGATACATATATATCATTATTATTAAAACTTTTCTTTTTTCTTCGTCTTCTGTATTACATCGATAATAGAATCCCTTCTCATTTATACGATACAATATGTGTATATTACACAGTCTCTTATTATATTGCGTGAAAGAGAAAAAAACATTATACAAAATAGTTGAAATTATTCCTACGAATTATCAACAATAAATTTAATCAACAGAAGAACGACAAAAAGAAAGATTTTAAAAGAGCAGAGGTATGGTTCATCAGTATTAGACTCATGGCCATGCATAATTCATTATTTTCAACTATGTTTGCATTTCTTTACCACAACAGCTTTTCATCGATATTGATTGACGAACTGGTCGAAGTGGCTGTTTTCGATCTTTTAGAATAAAGGAGTATTTTGTATCCGCCGTGTTCCACTAATGCCATATATTTTCCATAATCGATATCAAAGCCAAATGCTTTGTCTTCAACGATCATTATAAATTCTTCGTCAGAATAACGAGTTTTAAGTTCATTTTTTATGAAATTCATAAGAGCACCAAAAGTGTCCATCATTGCAGGAAATGAATGGTTTGTAGAGAAGGCAATATTAAGCAGTCTTTCAATATCAAATCCAAATCCATTTTCCTCAGATGATTGTATAATAACGGCTCTGGGATTTTTTAAAACAATTTTTTCTATCGTTGATATTGATTCATGTTGACTGCTAAACATATTTAAAAATAAAAATATTTCCTGTTTTAGGCAGCGAAAAAACACTGACCGGAAAGAAAAAAATAGAATTAAGAAAAAGAACGCATGATATGTGTTTATTTGTGTAGTAACGAATGATAAGATAGGTACGAATTAGATGTACTCCGTGGTGTATTTCGTCAAACATTCACTCCTGTCTTAACGAGGAAACTAATTTAGATACAAAGTTCACTATACCGTATAGCAATTAAGTACATTCTGCGTGACGACGGCAGAAGATCGATCAAGAGGTCGCTAGATACAAAACATTAATTGAAATTAGAATTAGATCTATTCAATTCCACCAGTATAGAAAGGTGGGATGTGATAAATATAAACAAAATCAGCTATTCAGAAGAGACACGACATGCCTTATAATACAGTGAAACACGATCTTTTTCTGCGATACAAAGTACAAGTTCCCTAAAAAAAGTTTAAAAATGTTCTCTCAGGACTTAAAAAGAGTTGAATTTCTCAATCTAAAACCAAACAAAAGCCTAATCGAAATACTCGATAGAGGAAAGGAAACTGCATGGATCAGGTCCATTAGAGCAAAATTTTTTAGGCTAATCTTAGTCAGCCAAAATATTTCTTAAAATCTTTAACTGGAGACCTGGTTATGAACGCCTGTTGTCAACTTGAAAACGAAAAGTAAAATTCTCTTGACGGACATAGATTTATAGAGAAAAGAATTCTCCACAAGATGAGACCGTTCTCTCTTTGAACAGTTAGAAATGAGCGATGCAGAATTCTTTTCTCTATAAACCTGTGTCCTTGAAAACAAATTCACTTTGGATTTTACTTACGGTATGGAGGAGAAGGAAGAGTCTATCAAAACTACTCGGCTTCCATTTAATATATCTCGAAAACTAACAGATTTTTTTATACTAACGAGTAGAAAATAAACAGTTCTACCATTCTGGTTCATGACAAATTTTTCCTGCAAAAAAGGACGAGAAATAGTATAATTACAAAAAAAATTCGAGCACTGACTCTTTTTCTCCATAGCACACTGTTTAATCTAACCAATGATCCTTGAAAATTTTTTCATCTAAAAACGAGTTCGAAACTACTTTGTAATAATCTAAATGTTTCTTTGAAGTATTTTTCACACTAAATGTGGATGAAAGAGTTTGCGATCAAAGAATTCAATCATTTTCACACATATATCTTTATGTTTACACTGATCATAGTTTTGAACATTTCGGACGTACGTAACATAACAGTGACCAGCTGATAAAAAAAGCAAACAAAGCGATTTATATAGTGACAAAACAAGCTGTTATATTCACATCATTTTTCAAAAACTTATAAAAACACTGAAATATGTTCAGTCACATTAAATCATTTACAAAAAAGGTAAGTTGAACGATGAAAGATACAGTTTTATTCTTACTTATCGTAAGAGCGGGTCATTTATTCTGAAAATACCGAAATTGAAAAACCTTTAACGTCAGTTAGGAAGTGTTTCAGAATATATTCCGGTCAGTCGTTATTCCTTATATATCGTTATTATACAAAACGTTCAGTTCTCGCTTTCGTACGCTTAACGTTGATGGCATGGAATCATGGCGTTGCACCGATTAAGTTATATGGTTAATATTGGTCCTGGTGTTGTAATTAAGTAGATTATTTAAGTGTACTGATTTAAAGGCCCAGAATAAATGGCTCCCGGAATTTTGCTTATAATTTATTTTTTTATAACTTAGATCTGATTATTTTTCCAAAAGATGCGCCGTCAAATTCTCTACAAGACTTGATCAAACTTATTTCTATAGAAAGTTAAGGAGAAAAATTAAACGAATTATACTCAACATGATGAAACGGACCAACTTACTAAGCTATTTTGTTTTACAAATTTTAGAATATATTAAACAACTGTAAAGACAATAAAACTAAAGTGAAGATATTGCGTGTACTTTCAAGTGCGCTCTTTCTCCTTATGTAGTTCACACTTCGTTCAAATCTAAGCGAGTACTGAAAAATCTAACATTCCAAAATTCACTTGAAAGTGACCAAAAATCTGCTATTGTTCGGTAGGTGAATTTAGAAGAAAGCTTTAAGATAACTTCGCTGAATCTGACACAGGTGTCATATCTCATAAAAATAAAAAAAGACCGAGCTAAAAAGGGTCTATTTTGGCTTCGTTATACAACATTTTCCAGAAGCTCCGAATTTACACATTAAAATATCTGAATTTTGCAAAGTCCAGAGAGGAGAAAAACGATGTAAGCGTCAAAGATTGACTTTGGACTGGTGCACCTAATACTGGTTGATAGAACTTCTCAAGGGTTACAAAGTGGGTATGTTCCCTTTTTCTCATCCAGCTCAATGAAAGTGGTTGAATAAAACGTTTTTTCGGCTTAGAAAGTTGGCCGTTTCATCATGTTGAGTATTCTTCGTTTAATTTCATCTTGTAGAGAATTTGACGGCGCATGTTTTGGAAAAACAATCAGGTCTAAGTTATAAAAAAATAAAGTTCTAAGCAAAATACGAGGAAGGCCATTTATTCTGGGCCAACCGATAGTAGTCAATCCAATGCAATGTAGCCGTGAAGACTTTAAAAGTGAAATAATCTATGTTAAATTGTGCGTAGTTTTTAAACAGTATTTAAACGTTGTTAAAATATCATGTTATAGAATATTGTACACTTTATCAGATAGTGTTTTGAAGACGAAGGTTTGGACACTGCTACAATATATCTGTTGAATAACAAAAACAATAATCTCGAATTTAGGGAACTGTCGTAAAATTGTCTGTTTTTGCTGTAATAGAGATCAATTCCAGCTTGCTTGTACTATCTTTGTTTCAATCACAATATAAAAACACCAAGAGTGCCAGTATGACTTTCGATTACTGATGAAATTTCAATTAAAACTGCAGACTATTACAAGAATTACAAATAGATTTTTCTTTTTAGGCCTTCACTCGTTAAATATTGTTATTATTGAGATCACTGAACAAAACTATTTAATAATGAAACTATTTATTCTACTCCTGTCTCTTATATCAGTTACATTTGGTCGTCGCTGTGTTAATACTCTAATTTCACAAAAAATACTTAGCTCTCCAACGATCGTTTACGGTGAGTCAATGGACAAACGAATATATCCCTACAACAAAGATTTATTCAATGTCACATTTCGCGTTGATTGTGTATTGAAAGGATCGCCAACGGAACAAATGATTAGCATTACAGATGCTGGTAACAATGAATGAATTTTTAAACTTATTAGATTAGATGATTGCAATTCTTTTTTGATTTAGGACAACTTCGCGATAGAACATCGTGCCAGTCACTTCAAGCTGGTAAACAATATATCGTCTTTCTTGAAAAGTATTTTGAAATATATCGTCCAACTGATTATCAAGAACTTGAATATGATAACATGACAATTGATCTGTTACAGAAGACATGTGGCTTGATTCAGTTAGATCCTGTTCATCATTTTCCGAATAAAAATTGTCCTAATGTTTCGGTAAACTCATACTGTCCCGGTAAGTAATATGTATACCTATCTTCTACAAATATTACCATTTATTTGCTTTTCGAAGAAAATAAAGTTGATATGATCAACAAAGATCGTGTACCGTTTACAAATGAGCACACACAATCACCGTTCAATGCGCCACATAATAATATTTTAGATCAACAAGGTTTTGCATTACAAGAAAATGTTACTATAGGTCAAATTTATGAAGGGAGTAAACAAATATCAGATGATATCAATCGATTAAATATGGGTGCATTATCAGTTACACGCCAAAATTTCTTAATTTATGGTGTCCTTGCTCTAGTATGTTTTCTATATGTACTATAAATAATTTACTAATTTTTTTTTGACGAAATGTATATTATATGTCAGAAATAAACTTTGTATATATGTTCATTTTCATATATACAAAATATTGTTATTACAGCAAGATCTCTAGATCCTCATGGCTTCCATCTTCAATTCTCTATAGATTAAAGAACTCAGTTTGTTTTCAACGTTAGAAGTTCTTTCAAAGTTCAAAGTTCAAAGTTAGGAATCAAAGTTTATAATCCAAGCGATTTAAACGTTCTGATCCTTTTATTAATAATAGGATACCATATTAAATATTCGTTATAAACATCATACGTAAACATTTTATTTATTTTCACTTTTTGTATTTGATGGAAACAATAAAACAAAGAACAACAAAACAGCATTTCTTTATTCTGCGTTTTAATCTTCTTATAATATTGAAAGTTTATAATTAATCAAATAGGCCAAAACCTAAAACGATAAATAAAATGCGCTTAAAGCAAATGTGAAAGTTGAAGCAGTAAATTGCTTACCCATATCACCTTCATCTTCTGATTCCTCTTTTTTCTCTTCTTTGGCTGGCTTTTTGTCTTCTTTAGCTGGAGCATCTAAATATGAATACAAAAGAATTAACGTAGAGTAAGACAAAACACCAACAGTTGCATTACCTTTTTGTGGACCACCGGCTGCTGGTGCTGCCGCGGTTGTTGCTGGGCCTGCAGCAGATGCTGAGCCAACATTCTTGATTAAATCTTGAATTTTTAATCCTTCCAAAGCATTGGCAAATAAACCTGGCCAATATGGTTCAATTTCGTAGTTTGCTGCTTTTAATAGAGTTGATATTTTATCGCCAGTTACAGCAACGTTATCATCAGCTAATATGAGTGCTGCATAGACACATGCCAATTCATCATTACTTAATGCCATTTAAATGATTGCTGTTTTTTTTGTTTTAATGAAAACGGAGAACTAGATCTAAAAAGTCCAAACATACAGATAGAGAAGGACATTTAAGACAATTAAGACTTAACAAATAAAATAGAAATTATGTATATAGACAATTTTACTCTTGTTTTTAGCGACGTAAAAGAGTTCCTTTAAAAGCAAACAAACTAACATTACAATTGACTATTGTATAAATAGAAGAAAAAACAAAGCGAATATCTACAAGAAAAATATATTATACAGTTCCACTGTTGATTCTAGCGACTACAAAAAGAAAACAATTTACATGGCTCGCAAAAAGATGGCAAATACAAGCATACACACTCGTTTACAATCAATTCATGAACGTAGCTGTCGAAATAGAAGATGATTTTGATGATATATCAGAAGGTATTTGTCTTGTTGTAGAGGACAGTGAATTACTAGATGTAACTACATTTGTTGAGGATGTTCCACTTGACATTAACATTGATGAAGAAGTTCTGTTATGTGCTGCTTGTATTTCATCATCTTGACGAAGAGCATTTAATTCATCAGTAAGTTTTTTACGTAATGAAAATAATGTTGAATAACGTTGTGAAACAGCATCCTACGCAGACAACACATTGATCCTAGTTGATTTAGAATGATGAGATATTCTAATGCACTACTCATTTCGCTAACTTTTTTAACAAGTTAGGGTGAGAAGTGGAAAATAAACTTACCAAATTTGATTTAAAACCTGGCACATAACGACAATAATAATTCTTCCATAATTTGATTTGTCTAATTCCATTATTAGGTAAAAGTACTTTTTCAATTTTATCATTATAAAATGGATTCAAATATAACGATCTTTCACGTAAAACATGCGTCCATAATGACATTGTATGTTCAGAAACCTAAAGTAACCAACAGAAAATGGAAAACTGTATTATCTCAGACAAGAACAGAAACTTACTCTCATTTCTGTTCGCAATTTTTCTGAATTGAGCAAAAATGTCCCATATTGACACGAGTATAAATTATCAGCAATAGTAATCAAAAGTTTTTCATTAAATTCAAATACAGATGGAAACTAAATATAAAAAGATAAAAAAACGTATGCCGTTACAACTTTCGACTATAAAATATTTGAGTTTACTTGTTGAAGTAATTGAAATGTACAATCTAAAAACTGTAGAAACACTGGGGATCGTTCGGAATCACTTTTGTCACCATGGCCAATACGCTTAAAAATAAAAGATGTCACATTGCAGTTTCAAAACATATCATATGAATGTCGAAAATGTCAATATTCTTCCACTACGAAACCAAATGCTTACAAGAAAAAATTTATGTCCAAAACTGAGCCATTCTTTTTCAATCAAAATCATGTAACCATTCAATGTACGATAATGCCCATCGAGCATCAGCATTGCCAATGAAGTTAACTAAAGGAAAAAAACAATTCTAATAAATTTTTGAGAAAAAGTAGTGGTAAATAATATACGTGTGTAGCGCATTAAAAGACCACTACCACTACTTTTTATTTCCTTACTTGCGCAGTTCGATCCCAGCCGTCGCTACAGTGAACAAGAACAGAACGTTTTTCATTGTGAACTAACGATACCAGTCTAATAGCACCAGTTAATATGGCCTAAAATAAAGATAGATAGTAAAAACTACAACATTTAACATCAATTTACTTTTCACTACCTTTATATGAAATAACCAATTTGAATTTTCTAAATCACTAAACCATGTTTTATCATCATGAGCAGCCGTACGTAAACTGGCTTGCAATTTTCTTAAACTAAAAGAAAAAACTAAGACTTTATAATCAATAATTTTTTTTTTCGAATGACAAACCTTTCTCGCATAACATGTATATTTTGTATATTATGAAATTCTAATTCACAATTTGGATAATCTTCGTAGCCACCACCATTTGCCATGTTTGCCATTGCATTTACCTTTGGACGAGCATCTAATATCAATAATTTTGGTCCCTGATTTACATTCGCGTCTGCTATTTTACGCAATAAGTCAATATCATCTTCACATGATTTATTCGCTAAACCAGTTAACGGTTGGCTAGAACGAGTTATTGTTGCATATGTTTCTCGACTATACCAACTAAGCACCTTTAAACAAAAGAAAATAAACAAATGATTAACGATAAGATAAAAGGAAAATTAATGGAGACATCTACCGGTATTCGTGTTCGACTACGAAATTCTGCTACACGTGACAGTCGAGATGCATCAAAATTGGATGGAAGAACTAGTATATCAGGATACGTGTCACATAATGCGTAACCTTTGTTTATATCGGCATTGATTGTCCAATGTGGATCACAGTTTTGCTGAATACCCTATTTGAATAAAACAAAATATGAAATTTTTTGTGGAGGAACTACCAGAAGTCTGCCATGCATGGGCAGAAGAAATTTCGATTTTTATTGGATTCATTACAAGTTATTTGATTGTTCAGGGTGTTTTACACGCAAAGCAGCCTTTATCATTAGAAAAGACCACTTAATGCAAAAATTATCCTCTTGCTATTATGTGCTTGTCAATGTTTACAACTAGACACTTACTGTTTATAAGCATGACAGGTTCATGTTTAAAAAATATTAAAATGCATGCACAACTTCAGGGAACGTTTGCATGATCGATATTAGAGAAGCGGGTCTCTCGCTGAGGTAGATAGTCATGCATATAAATAGTGATATCAGTTTAGCGCCAAAACATAGTGTCCATTTAAGAACATTCTGACCTTTCTAGAATTTCGTGGAATACTTATGCTGCTACTCCTTAGCAACTGATCCTTATATAAAAGATATAAAAGAGCAAATCTGTTGTTATTATTATCTTTTTTTATTTTTTGTGTCGATAAACGAAGCAAAAATTTAACGTACCTTTTTATGAAGTGTCAACTAGAACAAGAAATTGACAAACAAACTCTTATAGTAGAGTGTGACTAGTGCCGAGAAGAAAAAACTAAGATAGCATAAAACCAATAAGTCTCACGATCAGTCTTGAGTTAGCTACGATACAACTTCTCAGAAATATAGTTAAAGTGTCTTGTTGAACGACCTTGTTCTCTATTCACTGAAAAAAGCCGCTTACCATTCTTGTATAGTCTTTCATTTTATTGTACAGAGTCCATCCTTCATCAATAGCATTTGGGCACATTTTCTTTTTGAAATCTGACGCAAAAAATAACTGAACAAAAGAAAAAAAGGACTGGTATAACAGATCATTAAGAACATAAGGGAAGTAACCGTACACTGAAAAACTGAACAGGATTTGTTACGTCTGTTTTATTGATCGAAATTGGAAATACCAGACGTGTTAAATGTTCAAGTAAATTTCGTCGCTGATTTTGCCCTTTTGCGTTATCAAAAAAATAACATCGCAGGTCCTAAAGTAAACACTAAGTAGACATTTACAGAAAATCTCAATATTTCATACTTTGCAATTGATTTCGATTCCATAAGGCACGTCACCAATATTACTTCGTGCTTGTCCCCCAACTTTTTCTATCTGACTAATCATTCCCAGTGGTACATCGACTAATACCTAAAGAATAAGGATAGTTTAGATCTGAACAAGATTTCATTTAACATACCTGAACTTGATCCGGTGCTTTCGTGACAAACATTAGTCGATATTTTGTTAAAACCAGTTCACCACGATAAGTTGTCCGGTTGTTTATTCTGTACGTAACATCTAAACAAAAAAATCAATCAATCACGCATTAAAAAATCAATCAACTGCTTTCTATTGAATTACCTTCACGTAGCTTTATTTCTTCTTCTCCTTTCAATAATTTGATAGGCAATTGTAGTTCGTGTGCATGTTGTATTGTGGGTGGCTCAGGTTGTGGTTGTCGAAAGATTTTTCCTGACTGATTCTAAATAATAAGAAAAGGAAAAATGCTCATGATAAATGGATGTAGAGTGCAAAGAAAGTTAAGCACAACGAAACATAAGTAGCTTAATAGTGTGTGACCAGAGGCCTATATCAACACAAAATCAATCTCCCATAGATGCGTAATTACAAAGCAAAACAATGTTGCTCAGCAATGTTTACAAGAACGTACAATGATTTTGGGTGAAATGGGTAAAGTGGCAAGTATCTAGAATGGAAAGTGCTTCTTTGGATACCTACTTGAGTAATAAAAATAAAACAAAGATTAGTAGGCATACCGACATAGCTCCTTGAGTGCTTAGAAAAGCGGAATGCACCACATTTGACATTGGTACATTTTCATTCGATGATGATACAGATGAATCGTCTTTAATTCCAAAACTTTCACCAGCGCCTTTATTTGATGGTTTCGAATGTAAGAGTTTCGAAGTAGGATTTAGACTATCCACAATAGAATCATGACTATTTGAACGACCCATTTTCATATTAGTCAGATTGTTTGAAGCCATGTTAGTCGAGTAATTATACATAACACCCAAATAGGAAATTCAATAAATTAAAACAAAACCACTCATCATTTATCATACCGTTTCGTTTTATGAATCTACTCGTGTCCTGAGTTAACGTTACGGCAGATGAATTTATTTATCGAAAAGCTTCCAAAATTACGAAATAAATAAACAACTCCACCACCGCTATACCCGTTCATTGGTCAAAAAAATAGAAGCCTCCAGGCCAATAGTTATTTTAAAAAGTTGATGATGAGAGCCTCTTTTTCACGAAAAACTACAAAGAAAAACAATCTGCTGAATAATTTTACAATGATAGGCTTTATTCAGGTTAATTCAAGAGTTTTAACACACATACACCACGTCGGCATTATCACTAATTATCAGCGACCTCTTTCGAAGTCTTTTCCTCAACGAAGAATTTCATGAATATTGTTTGTCTTTTTTTTTTGAGTAATAGCACCGCTAGCATTCACATATCTGAAAGTAAGTTACAAAAACTGTGACTTACGTTGGCGAAGAGAGAAAACTTACTTTAGAGGGAATACATTTTTCATTTTATATAACATTTAATGTAAGATAACGAGTGTTAAGTTTACTATCTTTTATTTTTTAACTTTCAAATGCAACGAAAATATAACCGTATCGCTGATACGTAACTGTGAATGTTTTCCTGCAATTATCTATTGTTTTTATTGTAAAACCAAGGTACAATAACCGAGTTACACTATACCGGTATGCTTTCTATAGATTTTCGGATATACCAAAGTTCAGTTTTGTTTTAAATGAGATAAAAAAGTGCAAATCATAACCAAATTGAACGTCTTGTATCATAAATAGGTCTGCTGGAAATGCATCATTGGAATAGACACGGGTTGTTGTTGTAAGCAGAGTGCCTAAATCTCCTGATTTGACCAGGAGACTCCTGAGTTTTAGACTTCTGTCTTGATGAAAATTCTCCTGATTCAGGACCTGATTTTTAAGATTTTCTTCTGATTTTCAGTTATTTTCTTATATCGTTTTTAGCGACATTTTGGAGCAATAAAAGAGCGGGGAAGAAAAACAGAACTGTTATACAATACAGTCATGTTGCAAATACTACAGGTGGTGTAGCAAAACAGTTTGTTCACCATATTCGCTATGGTTTTTTTGGTTCTTGTCGGTTTCTTAAAAAATATTTGTATCTGTTTTGTTTGTACTATTAAATGAACAGCTGAGAAAATACCAACGGAATAAACTACATGTGATTATCTTTTTCTCTTTTTCTTTGTTTCATTTGTAAGACAAACCTTGCTTGGTACAAAAAAGTGTTTGTGGGAATGAAAATTTTGCTTGTCGAAGAAAAACTGCGTGATGCTTTTCTATTTTTCTCCTGATTTCGAAAAAAAATCTCCAGATTTTCCTGCTGATTTTTTAGAAAAAATCTGCTGATCAACTCCTGATTTCGCAAAATTGGATTTAGGCACCTTGGTTGTAAACATATGAGCGAGAATTGCTGGTGAAAATGATTGCAAAGGCACATTAGTTGCAAATGAAAAATCATGATTTTGTTCCGTCAGATCAGAATAAGTTTTCCGCTCCTTCTGGCCATTCGCTTCATTTTTGTTCTCTTTTTATAGCTTAATAAATTTTTGGTGGTTAAACAATTAAACGGTTGTATAAGAACAAAAGATATAGACATATCTGTGATAACTACCGACACATTTCATCTTTTATTATTGTTAGTAAAATATTTTGTCGAATAACCCTAAATCGAATACAAGTACTACTCGATAAACAAGTTTTATAAAAACAAGCGGGCTTTCGCCTCAATAGATCTGTAATTCACCCTCAAAACGGTTATGGAAAAGTCATATAACAGACCATAGTATATGGGCTTTATTGATATCCAAAAAGCATATAATTCAGTAAACCGTGAAGTTCTCTGAAATATTTGTAAGCTTTATGGCTTATCGGAGAAACAGGTTTGATTGCTGTTAGAGGTGTGCAGGGTGCAAGTTTTTTACCCTACCCTATTAGGATGGGGTAGGGTCACCTTGCACATCTCTTAGATACGCGCGGTTAAACTTCGAAATTGAATTGAGTTTGAAGACAGCTCAAATGACGGGAGGCTCTTGCCGACTTCTGAAACAGGTGTTCTAATCCATGTGAACGTTTGCGTTTGAATGCGCCAGATATTTCATTCCAGACGCATTCAAACGTGTCTGCCAGCAGCGCTAAATGCGTTCACAAAGGCATTTAAAACATAGAATTTTTACATGAGAAGTAACATACAACTGTCACTGAAACGCAGATCTCAGAATAAGAAGGCGAGCTCATGTATAAGACCCTGAGTTCTTCTCAATTCAGTCGTATGTCTACCAGCTGTCTCCAGAGAACGAATGAGTTGTCATTACAAAACTTTCAAAAAATATAAAATATCAAAAAGTAGATTCCAGTGTGATTTTTTTCATGTGAGGAGTTTCAGCCTGTACATATTAGCCATTTTTTTTTCATCTTGTAAGCACATCAAAACGGCTGTTTTATTCTGTTTGTTACGTGAAAACAAAAGCTTTAGAAAAACGAGAACGATGAAGAGATAAAACAACAAGAATGCACACACAAATCTAGAATACTTTTCTTTTCTGAAAAAAAAAACATTTACGAAACAACAACAGCGACAAGAACAAAATGTTTTTACAAAAGAAAAAACCATTCATAAATCATCATTCAAAATGAGTAAAAAGCCTGTCTTCGCAAGTGAAGATATATAGAATATAGGTAAAGCGTCAGACAATTTTGTGTAGAGAAAAACCGATGACAAAAAAAACGAAGAACAACAAATTTGTATAATATCACTGATACAATAATGCACTTAGAGCTTCCACTGCTGATAAACGACTAGTTTAGTTTCAAAAACAAAGAGAATTTTGAGCAAACAAATATCATTCACACGCAAAAAAAAAGAATGCGTAGCATATTCTAGTTGTTTCATACAAAAAAAACAAGTTCCTTTATGACTCTACGCCCACAGTTGAGCACACGCACACAAATAAATACAAAAGTTACAGGCTTTTTCTGACCATAGGGATGAACAGTAAATGCTAAAAGAGACAGAAAAATAAATAAAACTACATAAAAATATAAAAAAATCACCATATTTTGTTTCATATCACCTAATACAAAGAAAAAGAGATAAAAGAATCGCTATGATACAACATCTACAATTGATGATTCATCATGATTACTGCTATTTTCATTTTCATGTTGTTCTTCTGACGAGTCATTCATTGACGTTTGATAAATGGACGGTTGTTGTTCGTGTATAATCATATCAGTACGAGTTTTTTTCATATAATTTTCTGTATTATCACTAATAAAACTTTCATTATCATTTAACGTTCGACTGTTGTTGATGTCTTCTTCATTCTCATTTGTAATTGACGTATTGTTAAATTGTTTAACAATAATCTTTTGTGGTACAGATTTACGTTTTTTACTACTACTTGTGATTGTTGACGATGATGATGATGGTTTTATATCATTAATTAATGAAACAATATTCGTGGTTGTTATTGTTGGATTGTTATAATTTAAAGTTGAGTATTCATGACGACGAGGATTAAATTTGATATGATCTATTTTAGGAGTTGGACATGAACTATCGGCATCATTATTGCCATTTAACCATGTACTAAAAATATAGTGTAAATCTCAAAGAATATATATACTTTTTTTTACAATCTTTGTTCAATTTACCTTGTTACAGGTACAAACGTTGGTATTGGATATTCATCCACATCGTTTTCTATATCACTGTTATCTTCACTTTCGTCTGAATTGTCTTGATGTAGTGGTTCATTAGGTTCTTCGTCGTGATGACGACTATTATCTTCTTTCGATGATGATCGAGATGTATCATCGATTTGATTTACTGTTAAACCATCTATATTATCACCATTACCAGAAACACTGATAGCATCGGTCGCTGTTGTAGATGATCGTCTTGATGTTTTAGCACGCATTCTTGAATTATGAAACCAATTAGCTATTTTATTCATTGGTAAATTTAATTCATTAACAAGTTGTTCTAATGTTTGTTGACTAGGATAAGGTTCTTTTTCAAATATTTGTTTTAATATTCGACGTTGTTCTTCTGTAAATAAACAACGGCGTTTTGGACGACTGCCTTCATAATTACCTTCAGGATAATTTCGTCGTAATGCTAAAATCAGAGCATAAATTAGAAACTATTGAATGAAAAAAAATATATACTATATACCATCTCTTTCTCTTTTCCATGCTAATAGTTTGTGCACGTTTCCAATATCGTTATACCATGTGTACATTCTCATATAGGGTTCACGTCCTTAATTAAAAAGAAAACACATGATGAAATCACTAGTTTAATGAGTTCCATTAACTAACATACCTTTCACACTTAATGAATGCCATGGACGTGGTTTTGATAATATTTCACTAACTGTTCCTTGCGATAGATTTAAAACAGCTTCCCCAAATACTCGTTGTCCAATACTATAGGCAAATAATAATTCACGTACTTGTGAACTTAGTTGTTCAGTATCAATAGCAGCTAAAATCAAACAAAACAATAGAATTAATGAAAACTACAACGACTTTAATCTTTTTACGTGCAAAGCACTCACCTGGTATAGGTACTTTTGGTAGCTCGTAGGGTGCTAATATGGGTACAGGTAAATTATCGTGTGCATTATTCGTAGTACGCGAGAACTTTGTTCGCGAAGAATGATGCTTGCCACCTTGATGACGTTTTTGTTTCATTAGAGGAATATTATTATTATCACCACCTTTTTTGGTATCTATTGTTGTCACTGTTTCACTTTTAATCGAACAAGGTTGAGAATCTAAATGATCTTCATAAATTGTTAGACACAAGATTCAACTGGCATGAACAACATATCATACTTTACCTGTTGAAGTTGTTCGCATTGTCAACGGATAATGTCCATTGGTGACGTTAATCGTTGAATGCAATAATGATGAATTAACAATTGCTTTTGTAATATTTGTATTTGTAACTGTAGTGGTGAGATTAGTAGTTGACAATGTTGTTGGAATATTTTGTATCAACTGTTCAACAGCTAGTTTATCGTCTAAGAATAATTTCATTCGTATAAATGGTTCACGTCCTTTTTGTGTTAACAATTCCCATTGTTTTGGTCTAGCCAATATATCACTTAAAAGATGTAAAAACGAGCAATAATCATTTTTGATGATTATAGTAAGTACAACAAGTTACCTAACACTGCCTTGTGATAGACCAAGTATTCTTTCTCCAAAATGTCTTTGAGATATGCTATATCGACTTAATATATCTTTAATTGTTTGCACCAATTCATTGGTATTTATATAACGATATTTCACTGTGTCATATTCACGTATAGGAGGTAAAATGGATTTAATGGGTTTGGTCGAATTTGATGACAATTTCGATGTAAGGAGTGATTGGGTGTTAGATAAATCATCTGAATTCATGTCATTTATTGAAGATGTTGAAGAAAGTGCATCAAGTTTATCATCCATCAAACCAAATTTCATACTTAAATCTAATGGTTGCTCGATCCCATTTGTGTCCATTGATGCCTCTTCGTCCTCATTTTCAATATCATCCTCTACTTCATTTTCGTTATTCGTTTCATCATTCATTTTTTCAGCATGTTTCATGCTATTTAATTGATTCAATAAATCGGTATTACGTACAATTTCGTTTAACATCAGCCAATTTCGATAATTATCATTACACACTGTTAACTTTTGTTGCTGTTGTGATAGGAGTGATGGTATAGAAGATGACGAACGTTGATTATTTTCACTTATGATTGGCTCATTTTTAATTTTGTTTAAAAATAATGGTGAAACAAATGATTTCGACATCGGCAATGAAGTAGCGTGATGTGATGTTTTGTCCATGATATTATCATCAAATGACGAGGTAGACGAAGGTGAATGACATTTACCATGATCACCATTTAGTGATAATTCATTGGCACTTGTAATGGGTGTTATAATTCGTTCCTGTGGAGATGGAGAATGATCCTACATGCAAATAACAAAAACCTCATTGTTTTTCGACTAAAATCCAAATGATTGAAAGAACCGGTACTTAACAAGACCTACCTTTGACATTTGTTTTTGAGCATCCGTTAATATTTGAGCAATTTTTTGCTCTGTCACCACCCGTTCTTCTTTCATAGCAGTATGGTAAACATTGTCTTTTGAGCCTATCAAAACAAATAAAATGAATATCATAAAAAAAATAGTCACACTTATAAATATACGTATTTAATTGGATTGAAACTTACGATTCATCATACCTTTTCTTGGACTAATACTTTTTAATGTTAGAATACTTTCTTCAGAATTAGCCCAACACCACATTTTTCGATAACTTTCTTTTCCTTTTTCTGTGAGTTTTTGCCATGTCTTTGGTTTTGATAATAATTCACTAACTGTTCCTTGCGATAAACTCAATATATATCGAGCAAATATTCGTTGTCCAATATTGTGTTGTGCTAATAATTTTCGAACAGCACTGGCTACATAAGATGTATCTAATGGTTCCAAGTTATTGGTGTTGGGAGTGATATTATTTACTGTCTGTGGCAAAGGAATAATTGACTGTTTAGATGTGCCAACTGTTATTGTGGTGGTGGTGGTGTCAGACGTGGCGGATGATGATGATATGGATTTAGATTTATTCACTGTTCGAGATACTGTTTCATTTTGTTCAATATCAGTAATAATCTTTTTCGATAATGTTGCTTCAATTGCTTGTTGTTCACTTAATGATGGTGAAGAACAAACTGGACTTGGACAACGGAGTTTTGAAAAGGAAACAGAAGAAAATGGCGTAGTAGTTACTGATGGAGATGATACGTCGTGAGCTAACAGAGATCGTTGTTGGCCTAATATTAACGAAAAGCAGAAAGAGATTAAAGCTTTTTCTCAAATTCCAAAGAAAAATCTTCTATATTACCTACCATAAATGGTTGTTGCTAATGAAGTATAATCAAATGGTAACGTTGAATTTGTTGATATTTTTGTTGTAGATAAAAGGGAGGCAGTCGGTGTTGTAGATAAGCATGAACACGTTGATGGATATTTTGAAGATAACGAAATATAGGATTGTAGAAAATCTTTTGAATCAAATAATTTTGGATTTTGGCAGAAAGATGTCGGTGGTAATTTATTTAGATTATGAGGCTCAAGAATGGTTAGTGACATATTAGTTGGTATTATATTGTCGGTAGTAGTAGTAAAATGAGAAAGAGGAACAATTTTTTGAGGTAATAATGTCTCAGTATGCTGCGTTGTGGGTTCATTCTCTTTTTTAAATAATAAATCAGAATCTACTTTATTGTCCTTGTTATTACAATACGTATTTGCAAAATCAATATTAGAATTACGTACGGGAGGAGAAATTTCATAATCCTCTGATATTATTTTTGTTTTTGGTATAAAAGACGATAAATCAAACGTAGAATGTGTTGCTGTCGTTGTTGTTAAAGAAGAAGGACGAATATCCGATGATGTTGATGATGTTAGATACAATTGAGAATGAGAGACAGGTACAGAAGGAACTAAAGACGGCACAACGACAGAAGGTGAATGATGACAATGGGAACAGTGGTGACAATGGTGATTATTATCTAAAAGAACGTATAACAAAGCATTACACATTTCAATATCGAAACTTGTGCAAAAAATGTTTGCGAAGATAACTCAAATGTCTAATATATCTGTAGTGAGACACACTATGTGTCTTTCAAAAATTATTGGCAAATAAAAATTGAATGATTAACTTCGAGAAGATAAGAAAACGAGTTAAGAGCATGTGATTAACGCCGAAGTTAAACTTGATTTATCGAAACGTTAATGCATAGCACGTAGTAAGTATAGTATACGAACACAAGCAAAATGTTAAAGATGTAGAATTAATTTGTACGCTTACTTTGTAGATCTTGATCAGCTACTTTAACTTGGGTATTTTCACTTGATGTAGTTCGATTTTTCTTTGATAGTAATAATTCTAATGATTTTTTTTGTATTATCACTGCTTGACCATCATTATCTCTTGTTCCTGTTTGATCATTATTTTGCTCATTATTAAGATAGGATGAGGATGAAAATTCAATTGATTTTAATGTGCTAAAAATGAAAGTAGACGATTTTTCTATTTTCATATATGATATCAAACAATTCTAACCTTAATTCACGTTTAATTTCATCATAATCCGATTGTGTTTGTAGTTTTTCTTCCAATTGTGCAATCATTTTCTCTTTCATACTGATTAATGATTCAAGTGTGGAAATCTATTTGATGAAAAAAACGGAACTACAAAGATAGTAGTCGAAATTAAAATTGATGTGATGAACTACGTACTTGGGCGTTCGATGTTTCTTTAAGTTTTAGTAATGTTGATTGTAATTTTTGAGTATCAATAACTAATTGTGATATTTCATGTTCTTTTGAAGCCAATTCGAATTGTTGAATGCGATCTGTTTTTAAACGCTCATATTCAATATCATTTTCATCGTCATTTGTAGAATTTTTAATATTTAGTTCGTTTGTTTGATTTACTTGTTCTAATTGTTTACGCAATTTTTCAACAAGACGTTCTGCATTTGATGCACGCTTTTAAAAATAGATATTTGCATAAGTTTTACAATATCAGAGTGAAGACAAATTAATATATGAATAACTATTTACCTCGTTTGCTTGTTCTAAACCTTGGTTAAGTATTTCAATTTCAGATGAACGTGCACTACTTAAATCTTCTTGTTTTGATTTATATTCATACATTTCTTGATGCGTTTGTTCCAATGTTGTTTTCAATTGTGATATACGCATTTCCATTTCGTCATATTTTGTAACTAAATGAAATTCTTGATTTTTTAATTCACTTTCTTTATCACTATAGATATCTTGAAGTTCTTTTTCTTTAATTCGTTGCTAAAAACACACAGGTAGTGCAAGGATGAACACAAAAAAATGAAAATCATTCAAGACCAGAAAAAAAATTACCTGTAAATTTGATTCTGTTTTTTTTTCTAAATCTTTCTCTTTTCCTTGAAATTGTTTGATTGTTATTTCTATAATTAGAGAGCAAAGATAGACAGAGAGAGAGAAAGAAAAAGAGGGAAGCAGAGAGAGAACATAAACAACAATGAATAATTGGAAAAAATGAGATGCGAAACCTACCTTGATTAAATTCATCCAATGTTTCACGTAATTTTGAATTTTGAATTCCTAAATCAGATACTTTCTCGGCTTTACGTTGTAAATCTTGAGCGTAATCGAGCGCTGGAATCCGATCTAAAACAGCAAGCATAAATGATGTATTTACTGTAAAAAAGTGAATTATATGATTATCAGAGTATATTTGTAAAAAGTATCTAATAAAATGTACTGTGAATCAACCTAGATACTTTGGAAATAACTTTTTCTAAGAATAAGTGAGAAAAATTATCAATTTTCTTACTAATTCTTTAATAATTAAAAATTGAAATTTAATGTTCTTGTAGAAACATTGTAATATTAATCACAAGGTGATGCTAGATACAAAATTAGACGAAGAAAAAAAAAAATAAAATACTCTTTTCTTACCTGGTAGTTCACTTAAATGTTGATAAATTTCTAAAAATGCTTTTTCAGCTGCTTTACTTCGTTTTGCTAAACTATCGATTTCAACTTGAAATGATTTTAATATTTGTGCAACAGCTTTTCTTACATCCTAAGACAAAATGATAATAATAATAATAATAATAATAATAATAATAAAACTGAATGTGTTATGTGTAAATGTTTGTAAAACAGAGTCAATAAACATTTATAGACATAATGATCAATAAACTATCTGTATATGTATATATTTATGTATCTATCTATCTATATCTATCTGAGTTTGTTTTTTTTTTGTTACCGCGACAAATAATTGGAATCGATTTAGATAGTATGATAACACATTCACTGTTACACTCTCTCAATTTCTTTTGTTGTTGGTGTCTTTCAAAAAAAAAAAAAAAAACAATAAATAAATAGAAGATAAATTTCAAGAGTGATACCCTTGATAAAGTGTCGCAACTAAAATGAAACAAAAAGAAAAACCGTACCTCAGTTCATTCACTTCATATTCACTATAGATGATTATTATATATAGAGAGTAAAAAAAAAAAAAAGAAGAAAATGATAGATAAGAGAGAAAAAGGAATTCTAGTCTTTTGTATATTTATCATTCAAATAGAAAAAAAATAATAAAAGGACAGGTGATAGATTTTCTTCTTTAGGGGCCATCAATTTTTTATGAATAAAAAAAAAGTTTAAAAAAAAAATGAAAGCGAAAGAGAGAGGAGGTGAATTTTTAGTAACATACACTTAGATAATAAAACTAACAATGAAATAAATTTACATTCGCTCATTTTAAAAAGACCGGAGTATAAAACGAAATCAATTAGTCAAATTTTAATGGTGTTTAAAAGAAATATCTATAGAGAAGAAATTTATATCAAAAATAGACGAAGACAAAGAGTAGGAAGCATTATCACTCTAGTTTTTGATCAGTCATTTATTTTTTTTTTAAACCAATGGTCACCATTCTAAATGATTATTAATGATCTAACCAACAGAATTTTATTTAGTATTTCAACTTTCAATCTATATATATATATATATAGAACAATATATCATGTGACAATGATGAAGAAAGAAAAAAAAAGAAGAGAAATGAAGCAATCAGTCGCTTCTTGTGAGTCTTATATTTTATCACTTTTTTTTCTTCGTTTTTTTTTATTTTTTTTATTATAAATATTTTATTATTGTCGAAAGAAATTTCAATCATCATAGTTTCACACTAATTCTTGAAAAGAAAATAACTTTTTCTTTTGCATTTTTTTTTTTTGTTCTTCTGTTTCTTCATCATCATCTCCTTTATCTACGTATATATTCTATTAGCAATTATTGAACCTAAAAAATATCTATACACATCCACACGCTAAACGGAAGTTTGCTATGTTTGTTTAAATAAAAGTGAACATTACTCTCTTTTTTTTTTTTCTTCTCTCAAGTGTTGATCAGGTACCGATTATCGCTGTAACTCAAGTATTTTACGTACTATACAGTGTCAACAGTTAAAACAATGATATACTACTAAGAAAACGAAAAAAAAAGAACAATAATAATAATAATAATATTATTATTGAACTTTCAACTCTAATAAAAAGATTATTTTTTTCTTATCTTTTCAAAATGATCAGAAACAGATTGGCAGAGAATTAACAAATAACAACAACAAAAGAACGAGAGAGATAATTCTGAAGAATATATGTTTGAAAATAAATTTCTACATTCATAATGATATAACAACGTGTCAATGGAGAGACTACAACAAAACTCATTATGTTTAATAGCTAGTTAACATGCTGAGTCTTGTAGTTAGTAAAAAAAAGAAAAATTAATTCTTATCCATTGACAAATTAAAATATTCATAATTAAGAAGAACAACGAAAGAAGAAACCATTGTATAAAAAAAAAGAAATTGCTATAGATCAGAAGAACGCTCTTTACCTCCTGTGAGGAAAGATCAGCGCATAGTATTCAATTTTCTTATATGAATATTTTTTTCTGAAATTAAAAATCTCATTTTTCTACATTATGATAGGTTTCTCGTTCATGATAATATTCGTTGTATGTGATCCTCTAGATTAAGCTACATATTTATACTAAATATATCATTGTTAAACTATCGAAACCATAGAATATGTGAAAAAACTTGAATTGATTAGAATTTTTTCTTTCGTCAGGTTTTTTTTTTATCTATTGATAGAGAAAATTAAATGTTGTGGAATGAAAACAAAACGATCTTGAGATTAGAATTTAAAACTTATGGAACAAAATATATTTTTTAATTAGTGTTATGTTGCCGGAAACCTATATACATCTGAAGACAGGCACAAAAATCAATTTTACATCTTTCTTTCTCCTCTTTTGCTAGGACAATAAAAAAAAAGTGTCTTCCATCGATTAATATGAAGCCAAATGAAAATAAAAAAAAAAGAAGAAAAATATTCAAAAAAGAAGACTGTCGATGCATTTGATATTTTTATTCATACGTCAAAAAGAAATTTCATAAACGGAAACCTCATTTTCTCCCTCCAGGCTTGTGTCTTACGGTGTATGAAAGTCAATGTAAAAATTTTAATTATCAAAATAAAAATAAATAGAGAACCGATGGGATTTTTCAAAATGAAATCAATTAGGAATATTTTAGATTAGTAACAAAGTTGAACGTTTTTTTGTTCTCATATTTCTCTAAAAATTCGTTGATATAACTGTCTGACAGTTTCAAAAAAAAAAGAAAACATAAAATTAAATGACAACTGTTAACCTTTAATACGAGTTATTTTCAGCTGATCAGCGAATATTCAACTGATGAAGTGATAAGAAGCTCAAAAAAAGAAAATAATACTAAAACTGTGCATATCTTTCTCAAATAGACAAGAGAAGAATGGATAAAGAAGAATTTTTTTTATAATTTTTGGATATTCACGTTAAGTCGGTCCACTAACGAGGGAACCTCTTTAGGTTATAAATCACTTTTGAACCCGTATTACTTGCATCTTGTAGACCTCAGTGAGTAGTGAAATACCCTAAGTTGGTTCATCCCCGTGATGCTTTGTTGCTGAGATATTGAAGTTTTACTCAGTTTTTGCCCATAGAGTTTGGATTTCGAACCAAATCCGACTTTTGAATTTTGACTTCAAACTTGCCACATTGGTAGCCCATGTTCATAGTAGTACGATGGAAAAATATGCGGTTCTAATAAATTTTCCTGCCTTGAGATATTAAGACTCGAATATTTGACCCTCATCCTCGCTTCAGGTGAAATGTTCGAGTCTCAATATCTCAAGGCAGGAAAATTTATTAGAATCGCATATTTTTCCGTTGGTTCGAAATCCAAACTCTATGGGCAAAAACTGAGTAAAACCTCAATATCTCAGCAACAAAGCACCACGGGGATGAACTAACTTAGGGTATTTCACTACTCACTGAGGTCTACAAGATGCAAGTAATACGGATTCAAAAGCGATTTATAACCTAAAGAGGTTCTCTCGTAAGAAGTAGGTAACTCAAGAATTCTTCTAATATTAACTGAACTTATCAATTATTTATTGCTTATTTCTCTTTAAACTACAGATCAAACTTCACTTACTCCCCTCCTCCATGCATACACTATCCCACATGCAAAAAGAGTTTTACACTAATACATCTATTAAATTGAAAATTTTTATAATAATTATTTTTCGTTTAAACCAGATGCTTAATGGTTTTTCTTTATTTTTAAACATTTCTTACTGATCGACACTCATTCACAGACTATCTTAGAAATTTTTAATTTGTTAAAGAGTTTTCTCTACAATCAATGATATGGTACAGACACTCTTTCTTCAATAAAATATCAATTCAAAGATAGAATACGTTACAAACTAAAGGTGAATCAGTAAAAACAAGATTATTTCTAACTGATTCTTAGCCTAAGACTATCTTATTACTCTCTATTTATCGAAAAACAAAATAAAGAATTTTTTATTCAATTTTAGCGTTTAACAATACTCACACAACTGATTTAATTTTGAATTTTATACATCAATGTTGTACAAATAAGAACATTTTCTTCTATATATTTCACGATTGGTTTTTCAATCAAAAAATATCCGTTCTATTGATGTTGATTGGATATTTTGAGTTTTTTTTTTCAACAAAAGAAGAAAAAAAATCAAGTTCATATAGATTTTCTTCGAGTTTTTATATATATATATATGTGAATGTTGTTTCTCTCTTTCTATAAATTTTCTATAGAGTTTTTTATTCAAATGATTTAATAATAACTATGAGCGTGTGAGAACTATAAAGAGAAAAAAGAAAAAGAGAAGAAAATAGGTAGAGATATAAAACTTACGTATAGAGAGTAAGAAAAGAACAAAAAAACTGAACATAGATAAAAAAAAATATTAGAAATTCAACAATGATTGCGTGTACTTAAAATATCAAAAAATAAATAAATAAATAAAAAAATAAAATATATAGATATTCTAATTTTAGAAAAATCATCATCTAAAAGATTAATTTTATATGATGTTTATAATTCATCAATCGTTCAATTTTCAAAGTTGAATATTTTTGATTTCAACAATTATGTATCAACTTTCTAAAATAGTTTCATGAAATATGAATTTATCTATATTGTTGTTCATATTTAAGAAATAGAAATTATCAATAGAAGAAGACTAGAGTATGAGTGAAGCGTTTTGTCTCTGATAAAAAATATTTGAGAATAATATTTTTAAAACATTATACTGTTGCCCTTTGTTCAATCCAGTTGAATAGCGAGCGACTCAACAATTATAAGTCAAATATTTCTCATTAAAAAACATTGAATAAAAATTTTGTTCAACTCATCACTTTAAAATACTAGAAACAAAAATGACATCGAAGTGATATGAACAACACAACTTTAAAAATATGAACAAAGTATAATTTTCAATTTTAAAATAATTTTAGTTTCAGACTTTTTGAATTTTTCTTCTTTACATTTTCTGTATCACATATGAGATAGTTATATTAATAAAAAAAAAAAACACGCATACAATGATGAATTTACATTGTACATCAAAACAGAATGAACAACGGGTGATCAATTTCCCACTATAGAGAGATCATCTCACTTCTAATTTACCTACAGTGATACATTCAATCACGTGTGTATTGAACTAATGCCAATTTTTTCCTGTTTTAAAAAACTAATTTTGTACAATTGCTTTGAAGCAAAATTTCGTTCATGATTGAACATAATTATAGGTTTTTATTTCAGTAAAGAAGAAAAATTCAAATGAATAAAAGAGAGAGAGAGAGAGAGACAGAGAGAAACAAGAAAATATAGATTCTTAATTATACCTATCAATAGATCAAACATAATCAGCTAGAAAATTGATCCACAAGAAATAAGTTGTTCAATGATAGAGACACTCTCAAAAACAAGTAGGATATGACAAAGAATCTTATGATTTCTCTCATATATATAAAAATTTATCATTTTCTATTTTTTGTTTGTTTTTCAATTCTAAAACTTTCATTTTTAGCAAAAATCATTCATCGTAGAAAATGTTATTAGTTGAACTTCAATTCAAAATAAAATAAATAAGTGAAGAATATATTGAAAAAAATGTACAAATTGAAATTAAAACATAGAAGAAAAATAACTTTTATAGATGATAGTTATAAATAAATCCTTTTTTATCTAGACTAATTAGACAAATTCATCATCTAATTTCTTTGTCTACCTACCGATCGTCATATACATAGATAGAAATATTAAAGAAACGTAAAAATCGATTATAATAGAATTCATCATGTCAGATTTTTAATGAACTAAAGAAGAGACATATGTTATTTTACGTGACGCGATTATATTTCTACAGCTACTTTTAAGAAGAAGAATAAAAAAAAAAAGAGAGAAAAAAAAAAATTCATGAAACAAAGCGAGAAAATCGAAAAATAGAAAAGAAAGGAAATTGACCCTTATCATCCTATATTTCTAATTTTCAATGATTAGTGATGAAGTATAATGACAAAGTAGAAAAACACTATATGGTTTGATCAAATTTTGATATAAAGAAGAAAAATCTTTCAAATTTGATGAACATACATACGTAGGCAAAAACGAGAGAATACTCAAATATCATAGTAAATTCCTCAGGCAACAATGTTACTTATAAACGTCTAGAAAAATAATAGTCTCAAATAGATTGATCAAAACAAAAAAAGAAAAAAAAAAAAATCGTATCTCTCATCACTATAACAATTTTTTACCTATAGTTCAGGTGAATAATGTTATTATTAGAAAAAACAAATGGTATTAACTACTGCTATTTATAGAAATACTTTTTAATAGAAAACCTGTCATTAAAGAGACTAGAACTGAATTTATGGAGAGAATGTCATTTCAAAAATAAATCTTTTTTTTTCTTCATAAAGACCTTCTTTCTTTTTATTTTTACCAATCTTTTTATCATAATCGTCTACTTTGTTTCTCGAATATTTATTCTTCGTACAATACTCATAACTTATATTATTGAAAAGTTAAAATAAATAATAAAAAATCTTGTTAAAATATTCAACGAGTCATGTAATTGTACGAACACATATGAACTTTATATGAATAAGAAGAATCTATCTATAATCCATTTTCATTTTTATTAGCTTTAGACTAATGTAATTGATAAAGATGATACAAATTGTATACAATAGTTTTGTCTGATTATTATATTTACAGATGAAAATTAAAATATTTTATTTTATATTTTAAAAAGAGGTCAACTCTTTTTTATACCATCTTTCTTCAAGAGAGATGATTTGGTGAATTCTTTGACCAACAACAACAACAACAACAACACTAACAACAAAAAAGAAATCTAACTTTTGACTCTCGTCCGATCGTTAATAAACCAAGCATTCATTTGTATATCTTCAACGCTCATTTACTCACTCACTCAATCTATTCTATTATGTTTATAGATCTTTTTTTTACAAGTAGTTAGTTACTCTTCAGATAACATAAGACATATTTCATTTAACGTTTATGATTATTGAATAAATAAATAAATAAATGAATTTTCTTTTGAACGACACAAATGAGAGAAAAATGAAACGACATAAGTGTCAAAGTATTAATTCACAAAGAATTAGAATAGCATGTCTTAGAAAAAAAAAGAAAAGAAAATTAATTTCCATACTAATTGTGCATTTTAAAAATATCAAAAGATTATCTCCGTCGTTGAATACTTCTTTTTTTGGAACATCAAATATTTTAAAAATGATCGTGTTAAAAAATAAGTCGATGGTTGATCTTTTCATAAAAATTTCATCAGTTTTTGTTTTAGAAAGTAGATAACTTTTTTTGATTTGAGTAAAATAACACCCGAAAAAAAACTTGTGAACAAATCTGAAATGTTCAATAGTAAAAAGCTAAGTTAATTAGATCTTTTCTTTAGTTTTTATGAAAATATTTATTATATCTTAATAGAATAGAGAAATAAGAGAAGGTACGACAAAATTTTTTAAATAAATAGAAAAAAATGAGTTATGTAGGATGATGATTAAAATTTTATTCAGATATTTTTTTTTTGTGTTTTTTTTTCGTTTAAAGAAGAGAAGAAGAAAGAAGAAAAAAAAGTGTGGAGCCATCATCTAAACAGGATTTGACAATAATTCTTAATTGTATGGTTGTTTTTTATATTTTTTCTTTTCTATTTTTAATAAAACTATTCAGAGCAACCAAAAAAAAAAAAATTGTTAAAAAATTTTTTTTATTTTATTTTAAAAACCAGAAAATTTTTTTTTTTTTTCTTGTTGATGAGGATTCCGTTTATAAATCGGTAGTCTATTGTATTTTTTATGTGTGTATAAAATAGAAGAAATAAAAAAAAAAAAAAAAAAAGAAAAAAAGTAGAATAAGAAAATATAAAGTTTCTTTCAATAGAACGAGAAAAGCAGTCACCATACTGTAAATCATAAAAAAATAACATGTCTTTAACAAGACAATAATCATTATCATCACATC